ATGTTACTCCTCATCTCACTGCCAAGTCCCCTCTTGTACCCTCACCCCACTCCCTCTCCTGCTGCCAAACTCTCTTCCAGATCCTGCCCTACTTGCTCTATCCTGCATCCCTGTTCCACTTGCTGGCAGTCCTGTCCTGCACATTGAACCCCTCATTTTTGTTCCTACCCCAGAGTGTAAGAGGGGGGCCACAAAATCCACTAACTCTGGAACTCCAGAAAAGTAAATCTGGCCTGTGGGAAGCCCTGAACCTCCATCCTCCCTGGCTCTTCCCCTTACCCCGTGAGGGCTGGAGCACCAGAAGGGTGAAGTGTCTTAGCTCCCATTAAAGCAGCAGTGAAAGCCTCCATGCCAGCGAACGGTGCACCACGCAAAACAGGAGCCCCCCCCAGCCTCTGTACCTCCAGCATCTCATTCACCCCCTACACTGCCAAGACCCCTCATGTCTCTCCTGCTCCCTCTCTTTCCTGGCCAGACACCCTGCCCCCTCCCCTCCAGCCAGGCACCCTGCCCCCAGCCTGCTCCTGACCTCTTTTCCCCCCTTGCTAGACATCCTGCCCATTCAAGGCCCAACACCCATCTGGCATCAGCATCCTGTCCTCAGCCCTGATCCTGGTGCATGTCCCATAGTCCAGCCCCCAGCTGGTCGCAGGAAGGGCTGGTGGCAGGCTGCCTCCTGCTGCAGCACAGGTAGGAGGGATGGGCATGATTCAGTAGCAGCAGACAGAGAGAGAGGGGTTGGCAAGCTCCTGTACCCTTTCTTGCTCCTGCAGCTACTTCTGGCCAGACACCCTATCCACCCTAACCTGCTCCTGCACTCTCCATTGCTCCTGTCACTGGCTAGTCACCCTACTCCCAGCTTGTTTCGGCACCCTACCTCACACTGAAACCTTGCACCCTCACCCCCGCCTACGCCCCCATCCCTATCCCACTCATTGGCAGCCCTGTCCCACACATGTAGCCCCTCACTTTTGGCCCCATCCCAGAGCCATGGGGGGCCCACAAAATCCACTATCCCTTGACCCCAAAAGAGTTAATCTGGCCTGAGGCCTTGAACCTCAGCCTTCCCTCGCCCCACCATGGGGCTAGAGCACCAGAGCAGTGAAATGTTTCAGTTGGGATGGGGGAGCACATCAATGAGGGTTCGGGCTTTTTGGAGAGGCTTTTTTTTCCCCTTCCCTTGTGTGATCCCGACCCAATTTTTCTGTGGGTCATTGGCTCTTGACCCAGAAAAGTTTCCCCACCCCTGCCATAAATAAAGACATCGTTGAAACATTTGGGTTGGACGTAATTAGGGTTGCCAGATGGTTTAACAAAAAATACCGACCCTCCCCCTCAAAAAAACTCTGTTGGGGCGGGGGAGGGGGAGACCAAAGTTGTTAAGCAAAAAAAAAAAAAAACCCAGAGTGCTATGCCTTTAAATGGCTCTGAGCTCCTCACTCCCTTGTCTCCGCCGGACGTGGCAGGGGAAAATTGTCCACACTGGGGTTCCATTTCACATGTCTGGTATTTTCTGGTTTTTTTTTTTTTTTTTTTGGTTACCTGATGAGGGACCTGAATACTGAACTGTCTGGGCGAAAGCCGGATACCTGGCAACCCTAGACATATTTTTATTTTATTTAAAATGAAGCCTGACACACAAGGCCCCAGTCGAGGCCCAGGCCCCAACTGGCCATAGCGTTCTGGCCCTGGCCCAGATCCTGGGTCAAGCCCTGCAGTCCAGCCCCTAGCTGGCCGCAGGTAGGACTGATGGCAGCCCCCCCTCCTGCTGCAGCATGAGGAATGGGTTACCTAGGGAGGTGGTGGAATCTCCATCTCTAGATGTTTAAGTCCTGGCTTGACAAAGTCATGGCTGGGATGATTTAGTTAGGGTTGGTCCTGTTTTGGGCAGGGGGCTAGACTTGATGACCTCCTGAGAGCTCTTCTAGCTCTAGAATTCTATGATTCTAGGAGAGGAGGCCATGATCTGGCTGCGGCAGACAGAGTGGGGTTGGCGAGCGTTGCCAGATGGTCTCCCAAAAAATACCAAACACACAGGCTAAAAATTTGTTGCCTGCTACCCAAAGCAGAGAGAGGCAGACCCTGGGGCAGCACAATGGCGGGGCGGCGGGGAGGGGGGCGACCATAGGTAGGAAGGTGACTCCCCCATAGCCAGGTTTTTGGGTGTCCCTGTGGGAAGAAGCAGAAATTCCACCCCAGTCACTTTTGGCTGAGAGCCCGTGGATGGCGCCTAAACGCAACTACAAAGCACCTGCGGGCTTCTCTTCTGGACTATGGTGCCACAATGGGCTTGAACAGCGCTCAGGAGCAGGGACAAGGCATCACTCGTCCTCCCCAAGGCATCACTCCTCCTCAGATGCAATCAGCTGAGGGCTCCCAGTGCTGATTGCGCCCTGCCTCCCAGTCAATCCCCCCACCTCCACCCAGCTTCTGCACGCAACCACAGGCTCCCAGCTTGGAGGCGGGGGGCACACAGAACTGCGAGCCTGTGGTTGTATGTAGAAGCCGGGCAGGAGG